TTGTAATCATGTTGTGACTGATATTTTAAAGCTTAAATTTCAGTGCTTTTGCATCGATATTTACTAAGTAAAAGAACTTATAAATACTTTGCGCTTTTCTGTTGCATTGATGCGGAAAATGAGCAAATCTGGAATACTGAGTCTTACTGCTACAGTGCATATTTCAGGTATGCTTCAGCACGCACAATGTATGAGGTTACATACTTCGCTCAGCTACAACAAGCCTAAACGTTTCAGTGCAACAGCTGTTTTACAGGTCACGTGCTACATTTGTTTACGTTTTTTATAGTAGAATGAGTTTCGAGGCGCTGACCTCAAAAATGCGCAGCTGATGCACCGAGAAAGTAGGTCAACTTACTACGAATCCTTACCATCCTACATTTTGGGTGAACTTATACATTTTCCATTATNCGGTGAGGAGTGACTTCCCTCTGTGTGGCAGTTTGTGTGATCCTGCCTACTGATTTAGAGCCCCTATTTTACAGCGATCTCAGAGGACAAATCAGTAGGTCCTGGAGAGAAAATTCACCAACACTGTCTGCCAGAGTGATGTAGAAGAGTTTATCATTGTTTCTTTGGTAATGTGACATGCAGGTCACAGGCAGAAGATGGTCATAATTTTTCAAATTTATTTAGGGGTATCTAATTTTTTTTCTGTCAGAAGATGGTCAAAATAGAGGATGGATCAACAAAGATAATTTGGAAGACTGACAGAAAATATCTCTGGATCCACCCCTGGGTCATTCCACGAGGAAGTGTTTCTCATCTTCTACTCTTTGTATACAACATAGCACAAACCCTCTTTTGTTCTGAAATATGCTCTCTCCAACATCAAGTGTAAATCCTTTTAGTTTATCTAAGTTGGTAATCGATTACCCAGGAAAAAGCATTGTAATGTACTAGTTCTGTTCTCTTAAAGCAAACTTATATTAGGGCTGATTCCCAATGAAACCATCGCACTACATCTAGATCGATCCAACTCTGTGGGGGTGCTAGCTGAATGCAATCAGATTAACACATCTCGTTTCCAGCACACTTGTATAACCATTAGCTTTTCTGCACATATATTCTACTCAAAACCAGGAGGCTGCATGTAAATCTGTGAATCTGATTGCATTCAACAAGAGTCCCCGCAGACTTGGATCGATATATGTAAAACAATAGTTTTATTGTGAAAGAGCCCTTTGTTGTACGCTGGCTCAAGTTCCATTTTCATCCTCAGGTGAAATGTTTTACCTTCTCCTTGCCTGAGTTTTACATCTATCATTGTAGACATCATTGATTTTACTCAGAAGTTAATTTGGTTACACAATATACAATTACAGTGCTTTGTGGACTGTTTAATGCTTTCCTCTATAGAGGGAAAAAATCCAATATAATCTGATAGTCACCCATCAAACTCTACTGTGTGACATGGAGATCACTCAGCAAACTACTAAGAGTAATAAAATTTGATGGTCATTGGGAAATAATACAATTAACCCCTGGTTGAGAAAGCGGAAGTTTCCATTTTTAAAGGGGAGTGGGCATTTAATTGAAATCCCATTAATAAAATTACTAAAAAAAATTACACAAAAATGAACACATTTTACATGTGTTAAACAAAAATAAAACATAAATCGAAAATAGGTTTTAACTTTTCGATAATAAATTTGCTCCATTTTAGTGAACGTTAAGCCCATACTTCACCCAAAGAATAACTTAACAGTATCAGGTCTTATACTAGTACCTATTATTATCTGCATAGCTCAATACTGCGGCTCCCCTGAGCTTACAAAAAACCAACCACCTAGGCCTTAATTACCTCCCCTTTCTTACTGCTCCTCAAACTTTTCAGTTCACTTGTCACTATCAATACCAGAACTACAACTCACTTAAACCATATCAAAATTTAACTAACGTGAAGGTAAAATCTATATAGATAATGCAAAATTAAAGGGATAATAACTCTTCGTATGAGATCTATATTTCACAATAAAAACATTGTGAACAACTCACAGAAATATAATATATTCTGTTTTACCACAAAAACGGCAGTTATAGCTATTTTTTCTGATATCTGAGCTTGTCTTTAGATCACATGACCTACATTGATGGCTATACTCTGTTAAATTCTCTTAAGAGATTTTAACAAAAAACCAAACTTTTTAGAAAAAAACCAGGGACTAACTTTGAATGTAAAAATGGATTCATTAACCATTGGTAAGTATGGGAAAATTGTTGTTTACTCCAGGAAAATTCATTTTTTGGCCGAAACAAAGAGTTATTATCCCTTTAATCTAAAACAACAGCTAAAACATTAACAAGTCTAAGTGGACTTTTATTTGGATAGCATCGATATTTTCATAGTTCTGATGGGTTCTGCGCTGAAACTCCCATTAGATCACAAAACGCAAATGTCTGGACAGGAATTTACATTCTATTTTAGATCATCTATTTTATTAGTAGGTGGGGGTTTCTCCAGGATTTGGGGTACAGAAAGTCCAAGATGTGAAAGTGTGATTCAGAGAGAATCCAATCCAAGCAAGCCCAACCAACAAACCCCCCAAAAAAATATGTATTGTAAGCTGTCCTGTTGTCTTTGGAAGCTAATTTACAGCCCAATGACAGCTGGATGGCTCTCTGGGAACAGTGTGTCTAGTATGACAAACTGCATTTGAGAAAAAAACTGTTTCCTTTCAATGCATTGATATTGCTCAATGCTGTGACTTGTAAGCCACAATACAAAAGTAAATACCCACAAGTAGGTAGTGATATACACTTGTACCTCACATACTTGTTTGAAATCGGTATTATGTACAAACTTGTTTGAAATCGGATACCAAAAGAATAAAAGATCTTATATTTCAGTGAGCACTATACAGTTACTAGCACTAGTACATATTTACTGTTCAATGCTGTGATCTCTATACTGGTACATATACTAGTATTTACTGAGTGGTTGATACTGCCATCACTATACAACTACATGTACATATTCACTGTTCAATGTTGCGATCACTACACAGATACTGGTACACATTCACTGTTTGATGCTGCACCTCCCAAGCTGTTATAAAAAGCAAATTCCCTGGCCAGCAATTGCAGTGCCTGACATTTGCGTTGTCTGGCAATTCAGAGGCTGGGAATTGCTTTATGGAAACGATTTATTGAACAGATAGCAGTATGTGTTTAACACGTTGCTCAGTTCATGCTGAGAAAAAAAAATCAGTTGCAAGTCAGATTTGCCTCCCCCTTCAATATTCTATTTTTTTTTACATTATGCAGTGAATTTATCAGATAAGTACTCAGCATTCTGACTTGTCCTAACAGGATATAAAGCTATATTTATGGAAAAATATTGGATGGATTCATTTAGTGACTCTCTTACTAGTACTAGTAACCTGAGTAATGACCAGGCTACAATATTTAGTTGCCAATCTCTCAAAACAATTGCAATTAGTTGCCAATCTCTCAAAACAATTGCAATGCAGGTACTAGCACTGTAAATATATAAATAACATTCAATTGTGAAATGGGCTTTACACTTTTAATAATCAATGAACTAGTTCCATAACATCTTGTGAGAGACACCACACCTATGATAACAAACCAATTTGACCCCACAATCAGGCTTTCTAAGAGAGATAGATACACGCTCAAATAGTAGAAATAAAGAGATCCATTATGCTGATTTGTGAAGAACACCACATTTATCAAAGCAATCCAATCAGCACACAAATCAGGCTGCCTAAAATAGAAACTATGAGTAAGAATATGCCACAAGTATACCCTTAAATCTCTGCTGCTTCTAAAGAGAAGGGGTAACAAAGTTAGGCCTTTTTCACATAATGGTTCAATTTTCTGTATCTCATTACAGCTTGAGAGATTGAAAACTTATTAGCATGGCTATGACATAACAGAGTTACCTTTACGGACAGCCATAATCCATTACCCATTGGGCTCACATTGAGATATATGCCACTGGGTCGGCACTAACAATCGCCAATTTGACCAAATGCTAACTTGAAACTGCTAAACAAATTTGTTTGATTTGGCTGGTTTTAGTCTAATTTGGATAACAAAGCAACAAAAAAAAAAAAAAAAAGAGTTAGTTCGGCTCAGAGAAAAAATTGCTAGCTCTACCCCAGTGCCATCTAGGGAGAAGATATTAAAACAGCCAACTTCACTCACCTACAGACCGCAACTGTATCATCAAACTTGACTCAAACTCTGGCGTATCCGTCGTCATAGGATCACAAGCATCTGGGACTGTTGCATTGCACTCAATAAGGAAACACGTCTTCTTGTGTAAAAACACAACATTACAAGTTGGTTTGCGACAGCAGCTTAACACGCATCCTTTTAAATCTTTCGCCTCTGTGTTTTTGGAATAGTACCCTGCGCTGGCGCCTCCTTTAGGCAAGGATCTGAAGTTCATGGCTTTTTCCAGCTGCTCCTCGTTGACATCTTCACAGAGATTGGCTTTGCAGACTACAAATAAAGGACATAAACAGTGACAGTGCTTTACCACATATAACCAAAATGAAGATAGTTAGGTATGTATAAAAGTCTGCCTTTTGTAAACAGTTTTCTGATGACATTAAGCATATCATTTCCTATAATCCAAATATAAATAACCCAAAGTATTTATTTTCTGAATAATGAATAAATAAGTTTTAAGTCAAGTTACATTTCAATTGCTACAGAAAATCATTCACTATAATAGGAATATTATGTGCTTAAAAGTCTGTGACTGGACACATGATCCCTCGTGTCCTCTCCAGGGAGGTGAGACCGTCAACACAGATGTAATGACCAGGTGTCAAACTGTTAATGTATATGTTCCGCACATAATTGTATGCATTGTAAAGTCTCCTGAACAGATTTGGAATTAAGCCTTGTAATAAATATATTATTATCACTATTATTCAGCGATACAGAAACGGCGCGACTTTGCGACATTTGACCCATAAATTTCATTATTGTCTCATAAAAAACGATCGTAGTGCGACCAAACATGAGGCCATTGTCGCATAAATAGCATCACCTTTGCGACCAGGAAATCAGAAAAATACGTATATATTCAAATTTAATAAAAATCAGGAATGATCCAAACAGTTTAACAAAGTAAAAATCGTTCAGTGAGTGCGCAATATCACCTGAAACTGAGTGGGACTCAACAGCCAATCACATCGCACCTTTCAGTTATAGCGCTTAGCAACGCATGCGAATTCAGCGAATCATGCTTCTTTTTGCATTCATCGCAATTTTCCTCCTCGCACATGGCGGAGCAAAGTGACAGTGAAACTGAACCTCGTGACCAGTCGGCTGCTTGTTTGCCTCGAAAACGTGTCAAACGAGTGTTCAATGAAGCTTGGAAATCTAAATGGACATGGCTAGAACACAAAGACAACCATATGTTTTGCACACTATGTGTAAAAAGCCAAAAAAAGAACGTTTTTACCGAAGGCTGTAGCAACTTCAGAACCACGACTTTGGAGCGGCATGCTTCAGCAGCTGACCATCGCCAGTCGGTACAAGATGAAATCTCAAGGTCAACTCTATCGAGAATGGTAAGAAATCAGTTTAGTGAGAACGACAGTGCCATAATCCATGCTCTACGAACAATATATTTCTTGGCAAAGCAGGACATAGCAACATCCAAGTACCCAGATTTTGTTGATTTTTTGATACAGCAAAGCTGCAGTGCTCTTGCGCCAATTGCAAAAAGCTGCCAATCCTACACTATTACCAAAGACTTTCAAGAGAGTATATACGAAGTGATTCTCCGAGATGTGAGAAAAAAGCTGACAGATGCCGATGCCGACTATATCTCTGTGCTTTGTGATGAATCATGTGACATTACTAGTACAAAAAAACTGAGTGTGTATGCGAGGATATCATCAGGCTGTAAACCAGAGACCATTTTCTTAGAGAATTGTGAAATACTGGATGGGAAAGCAGACACCATTGCAACATCTGTCAAAAATCTCCTGACAAAGTTTGAAGTGCCGCCTGATAAGGTAGTAGGACTAGGAAGTGACGGTGCATCGGTCAGTATTGCATAATATTATCAAGAAACAATAAATAAAAAACAACTGGTGTGAAGTTGATAAATAGAATAAATTAAATAATGTACTGGATATATAATATATTACAAGGAAACAATAAATAGAATAAATATTTGAAATTTCATTCATGAATTTTATTTAGTCTGGATTATAATTATTACTGTCAGTCTGTTATATTTATGAAAAATTCTAAAATATTAAATAGTTTGGAAACTTTTTAATAATGAGATAAATTAATAGTTTCAATTTTTCAAAAATATTGGTTAGTTCATCAGATGTTGATATGGAAAAATTAATTTCAATCTTTATCTCATCAGGTTATGACCGGAAAACACAATGGAGTCAGTACAAGACTAAAAAGAGAAATAAATCCACAGCTCATTCAACTGCACTGCATTGCTCACCAACTTGCACTGGTGTCTAGCCAAGCAGCCAATGGAGTGCCATATTTGAAGACCTACCAGGAGTTCATGACAAATATCTACTACTGGTTCAAACACTCCGCCAAGCGCATTAGTGGACTGGCTTCTCTACAGGATGTATTAGATGCTCCCAAGATCAGGATAAATACATTCTGTCCGTTGGTTTAGCTTTTAGAACAGTCTAGATGCATTGTATCGCTCTTGGCAATCTTTGGCAATGTTGTTTGAGCAATGTTCATGAGAAATGCCTTTGTCGTTTTGCTTTAAACACACCAAGAGCACTTCTAAAGTCAAAATCCTGAGAAAGGGGGCCATTTAGTTTTATGGCGATCAACATTTGTAAATTTTCACTGATCAGTCTATTTCTAAGGCTAGATTTGATTATATTTTGAGCACTAAAGCCACGTTCTACGTCTGCAGTATGCACTGGGAGGGCAAGTGCTATGCCAGCCAATTTGCACAAGTTAAGGAAAATCTTATGAAATACGTTGATAATTGCCTAGAGTTCTTTCATACTGTCACAACTGTGTTTGCCAGGACCAATTCCTTCAGTATTGCCCATTCCTGTTTGACCACATTGCCATCAACATACTTGTCATTTGTGGTGTAATGACGTTACATTACTTTATTGACATTACTACATTGACATGACATTAATAATGTCACTTCTGGTAATCATGCCTAAGAGTGTTTCAAGGAGCAAATGTTTTTTTTTTTTTTTAAGAATAAAACTTGTTTTAAAGAAATAAAAAATGGTGTTTATGATGTGTCCCTTGTTTTGAACCTTGTGTCTCATATTTTTATGAAACAGGAGACACATGTCTCTCTTTTCACATAAAGTTTCTGTATCACNTCTGTGCTGATATCGCTGGCTTTTATCAGTTTTACGTGAATGTGCACATGCAGATCTTACGTGGTGCTGTATACATGAGAACGACGATGCTTAATAAACTGAAGTAGTGATACCTGACACTACTATTGTGTGATTCTGATTTTATAAGTGAGTGATAATTGAAAACCAAGTTGTTGATCTGTGGTATTTAGCTCATCCAAAGGAAATATTCAGTTTTCATAATTTGCTGTTGGTAAAATAATACAAAGCAGTACAAAAGGGAATGCATGTGGCAAGTTGACTGGAATTTAAAGAAAACAAAATACACAGTATGTATCTTTGCTATGCTCCTCCTTCACAATGTGTGTTACGAGTAAAGGAAAGAGAATGTTGTGAAATAGTTTGGCTATTGTGTTTCTTCTGTGTCCCTTTCCATTTTAATAATAGTAAAGTATGCTGGATATGGTGTATTTTCTATGTGATTCTTTTTATGTTATATACAGAATTGAAAACTGAAATGGTCTGGGTATTCATGTCTTTATCAATATTTTTTTCTCAGTTGATTTACAAAGAAAAGTGAAAATGGTGGAAAATTTGCATATTCTGGAAAGTGCTTTTCTTCAATTTTGTTCTGCGGATATAGTAAATGCATTTATTTCAAATGAATCTTAATTGATTTAATGCTTAAAATTAGCACATGCAATTACTAGATTCAAAAATCTTCTTAGGATGAATTCTTTTATATTCATAGGCCTGCATTACTTACTAGTAGTCAGTCGATTGATTTTACACACACCCTGTTGGCCAGAAATAGCCTTGAAGTATTGGTTTGGCTTTACAGTCTAAGGAAATATGAGGTATTAAGACCGTTTGATATAGGGAAAATGATGCCTTTCATTAGTCTCAACAAGTTCTCTGTCTGTAGCAACAAATTTTCGTTTGTTTATGGGCACATTTCATGTGCTGCAGTCATCTTGTGCTGTGGCAACATTTGTCATGCAATTGTTTCGTTAAACTGATAGCCATGCAGTTCATTACTCATTCAAAATTATTTCACCACATAAGACAAAAGTATAAATCATAGTTATAATAAGTTGGTTTCTGGAAAGTGTCTGAAAGATCCAAGTAGTTGGTCTGTTTTATACCCCATTCTCAACAGCAAGATTCGTCTATGTAGATCGATCCAACTCTATGGAGACTCTCGCTGAGTGCAATCAGCTTAACTGAATAGCATGTGTCTTATTGTTTCCAACGTAATCTTATAATCAGCAGCTTTTCTGTATTCTACTTAAGGCCAGGATTGTACTCAGCAAGAGTTCTTGCAGAGATGGATAGATCTATGTAATTCAGTGGTGTCTATGGGAATGGGCCTTTAAGTTGACATGTATGTCAAAGCAGTACTGGCTAGCTTATTCCAGTGGTGTCAGTTGAATATAAAAGAAATACAGTGGATGATTTAAGATGATTTAATATTTACTACAAAAAATGCCAAATATTCTCTTCTGTGGTTTAGAATCTGCTAGGAAGAGATTCTGCCTTTAGGAACAGAGCAACCACCATTATTTTAGCGATTGCTGATGAAATAGAATTGTTCCAATGTTTTTATTTGTCAGTTAGACTGGCAATACCATTCCGTAGAATGGCATGTATTTCATCATAGATGTAGTCCTCTATCCAAATGCAATCGATCACAATATTAGAAATATACAGGCAGTGCTTGATACATCTCAGTCTGGCTGGTTCTTGGGGCGCGTTCATACAGGGCTCAGATGGACTGAATCTCAATTGACCTTGATGACACAGAGAATCACTGTTGCAGTACAGTTGGTATGTACATGGCATGTTTTTTGTGGGAATTTTTGCTTTACCCATTGGTGTACATTTCTCATTTTCTGTAACAGGTAGGGTTGCTATAAAAAACCCTTCAAAACAAAACCCACATTAATCTTAGGTATGTCTGAACACATCCCAAAATACTGAGAGATTTCCAAACCCCCCTCCCCCAGGGACTGCGTTTTCCAATTGCATGTCCCTGTAAATTGTAGAATTTTAATGGAACATTTCCTGTGTGTTGAGAGGTAATAGACTATTGCATTTTAACCAGCCTATGTGTCAAAGAAGAAAAGAGTTCAGACAGGACTCCTTGCTTATCAGTGGGAATAAATCTAGATCCTATCCATACAAGGGCAAATTTGCTTCTTTTATAAGGTTGAAATATACTGTGCAAAGATTTAATATCATTGGATATGTCTATAATTTATTATGTCATACATATTCATAATTGGTGTATTTGTTGAAATCACTCACACGTGCAATATTACAAATTTGATATATAAATTGATTTCTCTAATGGGGAATACTTGAATGCCCACACTCACGGGTTTTTTTTTAATTTTTAATTCACAGTAGATTTATCATCAGCTTAGTCACCACTCAATTATTACTGTGTCTCTTTACTTATGAAAATCTGGTAAGCAATCTGGGTTGATCTAGGTAGCCTTTGTTCTCAAATAATACAAATGTGATTGTTCCGTTTTTGGATCACGCTAAAACGACTGTCTCTGTGGATTTGACTTTTTTGAACTAAAAATAGTCTCTACATTTAGATGAGCCGATGTCTTGCTGATGGTAATGTTCAAACTTTGCCTGTATCATCCCCACACATGTCACTTGAATCTTTTGCTATTAGGTTCTCATCTAATACTGTGGGCAGGCAAACCCATCTCACAACATTGGTTTCGAATTCAATTTATGGAGGATGTGGCAGCATCCCATGCTTTTATTCTATGTGCAAATATGATTACACTAGCCACTTGGGGTCCCTGGGGTACCACTGGTGGGACAGCAGCTATGGCAACCCTGCCCTGGCTCAACCTGTGAAATAGATTGGATAATGGAGAGGGATATATATGTAAGGCTTTGGGTAGAACTAACCCCAGATTTCTCCTTCTTTTCTTTGGGTGGTTTTAGATGATTTGTAGGTCTGTGTAAGATGCAGGTTGGTGACACAGCGATACAGAAACGGCGCGACTTTGCGACATTTGACCCATAAATTTCATTATTGTCTCATAAAAAACGATCGTAATGCGACCAAACATGAGGCCATTGTCGCATAAATAGCATCACCTTTGCGACCAGGAAATCAGAAAAATACGTATATATTCAAATTTAATAAAAATCAGGAATGATCCAAACAGTTTAACAAAGTAAAAATCGTTCAGTGNTGGTGACAGAAAAGTTAGATGTACGTGTTTCAGTTTGTATTTTATTATATAACAGAGTCAAGAATGGAATACACATATACATGATCTTGAATTTGGTTGCTTTACTTAAAATTTCTGATAGTATTGCTGTAGGTCAAAATTACTTCACTTGCCTTTTGACAAGTCAGTTTTTCAAACAAAAATATAGGTAATTGAGAAATTTAACTAAATTCTCAAAGCCCTCTTTTCATACACACATTACTGAAACCAGATTTTTGTCTTTTAAACCATGATTGGAATTGCAGACATTGTGTAGGTTGGACCAGAGATGGGAGCATCACCAGAAATAAGTGTTTTGACATGTGTAGATATATGCAGTTTGCAGAAGGAGTTCTGGCTCTTCCTTGCCTATCTGGAAATAATTTGCCTGTGCAGTTTTGTAATTTTTGACAGAGTTACTGAGAGATCTGTGTGAATGTTGGACACTTAATTCTGATCAAAGATTCAGGTTTTTGGAAGCCACAACAACTTCCCTAGTATTTCAGCTGATTTGTATGCTGGTAGATACACCTTTAGATCCTACACCACTTTTGAGACTGGGTGAACTAAGTTTATGCATTGAAAGTGGATCTTTGGTTTTGGAAAGGCTTTTTTTTTTGCACTACTGAATGCAACATCCCCTTGTGTAATGACATTACCCAATCTGGTTTACTGGAAGAGAGGTGATAGCTGAAACTTGTCTGACCTGACTCTCATGAGTCAACCTCTAGCAAAATGGTGGTCTTTGAAGTGGAATTGCCTAATTTCAATGGTCGAGGCATCCCAAATGTGTTGTCAGTAGAGGTTTCGTCCATTTTTTTTTTTTGGCCAAAATATATCCCCTCCCCTTCCCACCCCACCCCACCCAAAAGATAGGTAATTTTTATGAAGCCTTAATAATGCCTCAGTTTTCATTTACATCTCTTACGAAAGAAAGTATTAGAAAAACCAAAAATTATATTACATAATTGTCTTCAAATAAATGTTTATTATCTTAAAACTGTGTTCAGACCACACACTAGGCATCTGTATTTTCCTTCTCACATATAGAATTTCAAAACCAACAATGTCAGTCATTAAAAGCCTGAAAATTTCAGTCAAGTCGAGTTTGGCTCGGTTTTTTATTTTTATTTTCTGTTTCATATTGTTTTGTTCTATCTCGGCCTAGTTCAAACCGAGGAAGATGAGTAACTTGTGTGGGATTGACTGAAGTGTGCAATATATGGATAGTATTGTAATAATTGCATGAGTGTTGCAGTGCATAATGAATTCTCAAGGGATTAAGAGATTATGATAAGATGCTCAAACTAACTGTGGGCACTAAGTGCAATAGATGAAGAGCAGCCCGGTATGGTACTGTATTTATTTGTTAGGTCATAGCTTTTTGTAAAAGTGTGCCAGGACCATTAAAGATAGACTGGGTATGTACTATATTATCATAAGCATATTGCCCAGTAGAATTATCTTTCTCTCAGCCCACACCATCCGCATACAGTGATGGGATGCCTTGCTGTAATAAATACTCCCATTTGTCTTTTACTTTTCTTTTTCTGTTTCATCAAAATCCTCCATCTGGTGACAGTGGTAGCCAGATGTTGGCTATTTAACACATTTTTTCTACATAATCACAATCTAGTATCACCACAAGTGGCAATGTTGAACACCCGAGGTCTTATCAAGTCATCATTACAAGAGCCTGTCCTCTGTTGCCGAGATCCCAAGCTGGCTGTGTTTGACTATTCCAGTCACATCTTGCCTAGCACCTTGATTCTCTCCAGCCTGAAGCAGAGGCTGTCTACCACACACACACATATATATCAGTCACACTTTCTTGAAGTGCTAACTTGAAGGTGACATATTGCTTTAAGGTTGCATTTCCAGTCAAGTTTTTTTATGGCTTAACTTAAAACGGACTAATTTGGCAGACAGTATGACTAGATTTTCTAATCATAAGAAAACACTACTCATCAAAAGTCTCCCTTGCGCCACCATGATGAATGAGGTGTTTAGCCAGTGTATTGGCCTTTTGTGGTTAGAAACCATAAAAACGTCATGGTCTGCTGAGGTGATGTACGGTAATATGCCAAACAATTCGACCAAGATTAATTAATTAATTTCATNGCATCGGCATCGCCATCGGCATCGCCATCGGCGACGACAGACGCAGGTGATGGCAATATGTACAGACACATCTGTGTCTGTACATAAAAATGCTCAACTGGAATTAACACACCTTTAAAAACAAATAAGGAAATGACAACAAAATCTGTTTATTTATAATCTTTATATTTTACATGAGTTTTATTTATCAAATAAATAATGTAAAAAGTAAGTGAAATTCCTTGCAAAACTTCTTTTAAAACTGTGACAATACCTGATCTATCTAATATTTCTTGACTGCCAAGTCACCTATTATTTGAATAACGTCCTTCATGATGAGCAAACACATCTACCAACTGTTTGGACACTTAAACAATCTCAGACATATAACATCTCATATTAACCTCCTTAGAGTTTCAAAAGTAAGTGCAAAATAGACCCAAAACTAAAACTTCTACAGTTCTTAAGGGCTGTTTTCCATCAGACGGATGTCCGCTGTCCAAATTCCTTTTTGTCATAAAAATGTCTGAGTACATAACATAACTGGACATGCCTTAGATTTCTTCTAAAATCACCCAAGGCATATGTTAGTCTGTTGTGCTTTGTGATTTCTGTGAAATGGCAATGTTACCATGGAAACCTCCAGACCCAGGTTGCAGCATTGGTTTCTCTCTATCTTAAGTCATGTCCACTCATTATCTGCTACCTTTTTCCTGCTTTCTGCATCTGAAGAAAAAAAATCTTATATTACTGAAATGTTCACAGTTACTGGAAGGCAGGGTTGAACAAGTTGTGGTTTTAAAAGACACGATTTATTATTACTGAAGAACAGTGGGAATGAAGTAATTAGTTTCAATGTTATTCTGTTGAATTAAAGATGAAAAAAAATGCTGTGCAAAGAAGAAATTAAAAAGCTTAATCATCTGCTTGAAATCTGCAACCTTTTTAAGTTGCATACACTAGTGGGCCTGATTTGGTCTTAAAGTGCAATTTAAGACTAAAACTAGGCTGAGGCGATCTTAAAACTTAAGGAGGGACTCTTAATTTGATCTTAAGACTAAAAACGAACTGAAAGTCCAGTGAGTAAGACTATAATTGGTCTGAAGTGGTAAAGCAATTATCTCCCCTCACACATTCAGTCCAAACTTGGACTGGGGCTCCAGCCAGATAGCTGAAGATAGCAATCAAGTGGAGGGCCATTGTATGAGAGCATTGTATGTAGCAGAGACGAGCATTGAAGTGCACCTGAACAAGAGAGATAAAAAGAGGATGAAAAGTCAAGGATTGGTGTTTAAGAATCAATATAACTTTGGTCGTCTACAAAATTGGAAGCATTTCTGGGGCCTAAGAGATGGAAGATCTTTTATTCGACATGTATTGTTTCCATCAAGACACAAACCTTCAGGAAATGGAATCACATGGGAAACGGCAACATATAAAATAGAAAAAGAGTTACACGATATCTGATATTAAAATCATTAGTAACTTTTAATGAAGTAGCTTTAGCATTATTTTGAGATAAATGTGATGGATCACAAAAGAAGCAAATGTGGAGGAGCACAACTTCCCAGATTGAATTTTTATGTCAAGTGTAATAAGATGACCTTAGATTTTATCTTTTCTTTTAAAGGAACTGCTTGTTAGAATTTTGCATAGAAAAGATGGCATTTCCAAGGGATTAATTATGACCAGTGTGACCCATTTTAAAGGGATAATAACTCTTCGTATGAGACCTTTATTTCACAATAAAAACCTTGTGAATAACTCATAGAAATATAATATATTCTGTTTTACCAAGAAAACAGCAGTTATAGCTTTTATTCTGATATTTGAACTTGTCTTTAGACCACGTGACCTCCATTGATGTCTATACTCTGTTAAAATCTCTTCAGAGATTTTAACAAAAAAACAAACTTTTTAGAAAAAAACCAGGGACTGACTTTGAATGTAAAAATGGATTCATTAACCATTGGTAAGTATGGGAAAATTGTTGTTTACTCCAGGAAAATTCATTTTTTGGCCGAAACGAAGAGTTATTATTGCTTTAAACTTATTTTAGAAATAACAGTATAGTATATTAAATGTATGTCTTTTAGACCATTCTTTCTTCACTTCAGATAAAATGCAATTTTTGAGCAGTATTTATCTAAAAAAAATAGTATTTTCACCTACTCATTAGTTAAACCTGCTCCTGCTATTGGATTTTTCATTTTAGGCCTTTTTAATCAAATACTTTTAGTTCTAATTGTTCACCATAATGACTGTTTAAATGGTCACATCTGTTACAGTTGTGTAATTGGGATTTTCATAATTTTCAAGGTCCGAATTGGAAACAAAAGTACCTTTATAGAATGTGCAGACAGTAATGTTTACTTTCCAGCATTTTCAAATGAAAAAAATATACTTTTAAGAATGAAGTTACGTGCCTCAAGGACAGATCATAGGGTGTTAAAAGGAAAATCTAATATCTAGACAGCAAAATTATGAAAAGGAAATACATTATTATTTGAAGTATTACCATGGCATCTCATCTCTCTATGAGTAGCAAAGGGTGGTCTCTTGTCAAGCAAGTGCTAATTGCCTAATTGATAAGGGCGATTCAGATACTATCTCAGATAATTTCTAAAGCAAGGAAAGACTTGGTTGTAGAAGTACTAGTGCAGCATACTTTCAATGTTGTTTTGAAGGAAGTCTTTCTTTTTTTCTTTCTTTTTTGATTTTGATTTCTTGCTAAAGGGTGACTCAAAGAAAGAAAGAAAAAAGAAAGTAAGACTTCCTTCAAAAGCAAAAATCAAGAAAAATATTGTCGCCTCAGACTAGTTTAGTCTTAAATTGCGCTTTAAGACCAAATCAGGCCTACTAGTCCACTCTTTCTTTGAGTCCTGACAGAATGGTTGATTGAGGGAATGCACTATTTAATTAGTAGGTAAGTGTCACATTAACTCAGTTGTATCTTGTTTTAAAAATAAAAATTACATTTCTAAAGAAGAAATGGACAGAACTTTGGAAATTTTAAAAGATTTTTAGGACAGACGCAGGAAGGAAATTATAGAGCAGAGAACTTACTATATCCTAATGAAAATAATTTTAAAATCATGATAAATGTGAAATTGATATCATTAAATTTATAATTGTGAATACCGATATGCATGTAATTAAAATGTAACCATATTTTAAAAGTAAAAAAAGGAATTTTGTATTTTCAATTTTTTGTGTACTGTATATGAGCATTTGGTACAAAAAACTTTCTTAATTGGCATTTAAAATAAATGCACTTTTTTTCACTGCTTTTGCATTTACTACCTTTCTTGGAACAATAATAAATACTAAATATCAAAACCCTTTAAAGAAAAATTGTTTAATGTATGCTGCATTTTCCTTGCTTTAGAAATTACCTTAGATCACCCTTCAGCAAAAAAATCAACATCAAAGAAAGAAAGAAAAAAGAAAGACTTCCTTCAAAAACAAAAATCAAGAAAAATATCGTTTTAAATATGAAATTCTAACATTGAATACCTACAGAAATTATCTGAGTTAGTATCCGAGTCACCCTTTAGCAAGAAATCAAAATCAAAAAAGAAAGAAAAAAAGAAAGACTTCCTTCAAAACAGCATTGAAAGTATGCTGCACTAGTACTTCTACAACCAAGTCTTTCCTTGCTTTAGAAATTATTTGAGATAGTATCTGAATCGCCCTTATCAATTAGGCAATTAGCACTTGCTTGACAAGAGACCACCCTTTGCTACTCATACAATGACCCTCCACTTGATTGCTATCTTCAGCTGTCTGGCTGGAGCCCCAGTCCAAGTTTGGACTGAATATGTGAGGGGAGATAATTGCTTTACCACTTCAGACCAATTATAGACTTACTCACTGGACTTTCAGTTCGTTTTTAGTCTTAAGATCAAATTAAGAGTCCCTCCTTAAGTTTTAAGACGCGCTAAGCCTAGTTTTAGTCTTAAATTGCACTTTTAAGACCAAATCAGGCCCACTAGTGATATCCTGTTCTGTCAACTTAATTTTAAGCAGTTGCATTACTAACTGTGCATATACCTACCACTACATAGTACATACTTGACAAAAACAAAATTTCAGTATGCTAAAACACTTAAAATATAGTTTATTTCCATGCAATCTCTCTGTAAATCACTTTTAACTTACTGTTTTCTTAAAACATTCCTTCAGAGCCTGGAACTCTTTGGCGCAATCATTACATTTCACATCCTCCTTCTCTGAAACACACTTCCCGTATGCTGACATCTGAAATTAATGGTGTCAAATCAAGTTGCATTAATAATTATCACAGTCATCAAGTAACCATCTCAAGTCGAAAGAAGCAAACAGACTTTCTACCCAAGCCCCCCCTCCCCCCAAAAAAGAAAGTTAATTATTAATAAAAGTGAATTTATAAATAAACTTAGAAAGAAATACCCCTTTCAACTAGTCAATTTATGATACAAAATGGGGTTTCTCAAACATTTCTCAAAATCACTGCAATAAACCAATGACTTTCTAACTACTGTAAATTGTAATTATATAATTTTTATAAATTATTTCCATGAGAGAGAGAGAGAGAGAGAGAGAGAGAGAGATGCAACGTTCTCACGTCGAATTACCTCAGTCCTACATTCTTTCAAGGCCACAGGGAACTGCTTCAATCTCTGCTTAGCTGCCTGCACAGACGAATTAGCACGCTGCATAGCTACTATTTCAGCATTACAACATTAACTATGCCAGTGACACTTATATCACCACTGTACTGCACATGTGAAACAGTTGCTTGCGTTTCAAACCTCCACATCCTGAAGATGTTATTTCATATCCGACCCGATCACCTGTACTGAGTCCGTTTTCCCTTTCATAAACAGGCTTACATAGTCTGACTAAATCAGCATGGAGTGAGGACGCGAAAAAGATTTTGTGTGAAAATGGCTCTGGAGCACAAAAGCAAGAGAAAACTTTCCAGAGCAACAAAGGACACAATTCACTTTATCACGGTATGCATTCCCCATTGTGACTCTGATTATGTGAGGAATTTAGGTGTGAGCTATACCAGATCCACTGTTTAATGCTTCTTGCATCAAAGAAAAACAATAAGCTGATGGCATATGAAAGGTTGTCCACTATCATTGCACTGGCCACATCTGTACTGTATACATGAAGCCTCTGATAAAATTAAAAGAAATTTTCTCTGTCTGACAGACTAGATGCTTGTTTTAAACGTGGCGGATCCAGAGATATTATCTTTTAGTCTTCAAAATTATCTTTAGTTTGATGATCCATCCCCCATTTTTGACTGTCTTTTGACAGAAAAATTGGATACCTGCCAATGTTAACTTGAAAAATTCTAGCCATCTTCCAGGAGATCCAGAAGATGGCTTCATTTCACCTCTGTTAAATGTTGCATTTTATAAAATACTTTTGCCATCAGCTCAGGATAACAATATTATGAATGATCTCAAATAAAATCCACTTTTTTAAAATCACTATTTGAATTACAAAAGGCAACAGCAGCAATGACAGGGATCCACAATGCTCAGCAATCAGAAAATGTCCAGGCACAAGTTTTTTTTTTTTATATAATTATTTTAATTATGTAAAAACATTATATTTTCAGGTAAAGAAGTACAGTTTAAAAATGCTGCCCACCAGATAAGATTCTGGTTGCCCTCAAGTGGTGGTATCCAGATAGAAAACAGTGGTGTCCCTTTTTTCTATATTGGGAAAGTGATCAAGCAATGTCACTTGGGGAAAAATATAGACAGAGCCACAAAGGACAGAAGGTGTAAGGAGCGCCATAAGCAATGGGATGTAAGTTGTCTTTTTACATTACTGTCTCAAACAATTTCATTTATAAATATTGTTTTTTTTTTCTTCTATTTAAAGATTATCTGTGGCACAATAGTCTAACAATAATTGCATGTATTTAAACTATGCAATAAAAAATATTGAGTACTTCCAAGAAAATGTCTTTGTATTTGGAAATTAAAGTTATTCCCCATCCTACACCTTTCATTTCATCTGGTACAAGCAGTGGCACATGTTTCAGCATTCTTGGACATATTCCTGTCTATATTTTTTGCTTTTAAATTTTTTTATATATTTTTATTAAGATTGAATTTTTAGTAGTGTGAATTTTAAATGATTTCCGATGAATGTTTTAGATTTAAATATTGTAGTAATTTTAAAGATTTTAGTTATAACTATAATATGAATATTATCCATTATAAGGCACTTTGAGGTAGTACGTAAGGCTCCATGAAAAATAAGAAACATTATTATTATTATTATTATTATTATTATTATTATTATTATTATTATATGAAAACACAAAGATGTGTTATATTGCAGGGGATACAGGAGGATGCCTTTTCAAATAATCAAAAGCCACGATGCAGAAAGCGAACAACCCAAAAAATTGGCTGTAATGCCAAAATTTACTTGTATCACATTGTTAGGTTTCCTGACTACAAGGTCAGTAAAATAATTTTAATGGACATGGTTATTTTGGTATAAAAATTTCCTAACCCAATATCAAAATGAATTTATGTTACAGTTCTACTAATAAAAGGGGTATGGGAAAGTAATCAATATTTATCATGTTATTCTATATGATTGTTGTATGTTTGCTAATTTAGACCCTATATTCCCATAGACACCATTAGTGACATCCAACTCTGTGGGGACTCACTGATTGCAATCAGCTCAACTAAATGACATTACTGTCTCGAACCATTTCATTTATAAATATTGTTTTTTTTTTCTTCTATTTAAAGATTATCTGTGGCACAATAGTCTAACAATAATTGCATATATTTAAACTATGCAATAAAAAATACTAAGTACTTCCAAGAAAATGTCTTTGTATTTGGAAATCAAAATTATTTCCCATCCTACACCTGTCATTATAACTGGTACAAGCAGTGGCACATGTTTCAGCATTCTTGGACATATTCCTGTCTATATTTTTTGCTTTTAAATTTTTTTATATATTTTTATTAAGATTGAATTTTTAGTAGTGTGAATTTTAAATGATTTCTGATGAATGTTTTAGATTTAAATATTGTAGTAATTTTAAAGATTTTAGTTATATTATCCATTATAAGGCACTTTGAGGTAGTACGTAAGGTGCCATGAAAAATAAGAAACATTATTATTATTATTATTATTATTATTATTATATGAAAACACAAATATATGTTATATTACAGGGGTTACAGGAAGATGCCTTTTCAAATAATCAAAAGCCACGATGCAGAAGGTGAACAGCCAAAAAAATTGGCTGTAATGCCAAAATTTATTTGTATCATATTGTTAGATTTCCTGACTACAAGGTCAGTAAAATAATTTTAATGGACATGGTTATTTTGGTATAAAAATTTCCTAACCCAGTATCAAAATGAATTTATGTTACAGTTCTACTAATAAAAGGGATATGGGAAAGTAATCATTATTTATCATGTTATTCTATATGATTGTTGTATGTTTGCTAATTTAGACCCTATTCCCATAGACACCATTAGTGATATCCAACTCTGTGGGGACTCGCTGATTGCAATCAGCTCAACTGAATGACATGTCTCCTCATGTTATGATATAATCACTACCTCTTCTGTATTTTACTCAATGTCAGGCGGCACTCAGTTTACTTAAGCTGATTGCAATCAAGGAGAATCCCCACTATTAAATGATGAAAATTAAATAAACACTTTGCCTTTATGAACTAGAAAAGCACTCCGAGAGCGCAGACCCCCGCTAAGGCAGCGGTTTTGATTATTATTGATTATTGATTGATTATTGATCCAGATCATCACCAAAAACTAATCATCTCTTCCTGGGCCCACTTCTGACAGTTCCTGAAAATTTCATCAAAATCGGTCCAAAATTTTTTGAGTTATGTTGATGACAGACAAACAAACAGGGGTGAAAACGTAACCTCCTTGGCGGAGGTAATAATATCTTCCCTCCTATATATTAATTGCAAATTCTTCCATTGTAACCAAGTCACTTCTTTCCATTATCCACTTTACTGTTTAAATGTGCTGTATGCAAAGGTAACATTTACTTAACTTTTAGGGCATACCATTAACCCACAAAGTAATCAATTATATTTATTCAGACAAGCAGTATATTTTTTAAAAAACATTCAAATTTTTATGTACAGACACAGATGTGTCTGTACATATTGCCATCACCTGCGTCTGTCGTCGCCGATCATGTCGCCGTCGCCGTGCACTTTCAGCGTTAACACCATAAGTGGAAGACAGTTTTACTTTTTGGCTTTATATTTACAGAGGTGACTAATATTCAAAAAACGCATGTCAAGTTCGAAAATCAGCATGATCGGGCCATTANATATCAGCATTTATACCATTAACTGTGATCCCTGATTTCGTAACCACCTCGTTTGTATTTCGAGCATCAACTCCAACTGCTTGCGCATTGATACCATTTGCTTCAAAATTTTTGTTTTCTGTTCTTGCTTGCAAACTTTGGCCTAGATCAATGCCCTTAACTTTTGCATTCATACCATTATATTGTTGATCTATACTCTGCAAGTTCTTTGATACATTTACGGATCCCTCAACACCTACAATTTCAGCCGTCAAACCCTTTGCCTTTATGCCAACTTTTTCCACTTCAGCGGTTGCACTTGCCTGGAATTTTGCACCTCGGATGTCAGCGGTCAATCCAGTGGCACTGATCCCCTTCACCGTACACTGTGCTGAAACGTCTGCAGTTGCTTGTAGACCAGTGGCGTCGAATGTGCCAGCTTTCAAGTCTGCATCAATGGCTGTAGCCGACGCCTCGGCTGAGACTCCAATGTTGGCCCCAGTTAAGTTAACTTGGAATCCCCTTGCTCGTAACGCAGTAGCTGAAGCGGCAACCTCAGCGTTCCCTCTGATTTTGGCGCCAGTGATGTTGGCCTGCGCCCCCTGTAGGACGGCCCCATTGACTTGACACTTGCCCTCCGCGTTCACTCCAGCGTTCACTCCAGTCACGTTCGCTTCAACTGCCTGTACTTTGAGTGCAGTTATGCCAGCTCCTGCTTCAAGAGTTGCACTAGTTTTCACCCCCGTACATTGTGCGTTGCAGTACGAAACATTGCAGCCATGCAAAGTACACTTGAACTCCTTTGTCTTGGTTTTTTCCTCTTTTTTTCTACTATGTTGATTGCATTTACATTTAAGTCGTTTAATTTCAGCTAGAGACTTCTCTTCTTTGCGTTTGGAGTCCTTGGACTTTTTCTCTGCTTCATCCTTCTGAGCTTTCTTGGCTTCTGCATCACCGTCCCATAGGATATTTCCATCATCAATGTAACATGGACGCCGGTGTCGAAGTTCCATTTTTCTCGCTGTAATATGTAACAAATTAAAATGTTATCGGTCCTAGGGTAGACCTCAAAATTTATGTTTTCTCAGGTCTACAAATTCAAATGACTCCACTCCAATTCCGATATTTTGTTTTAATAATTTCTTTATTTACCTAAGATCTAGCTTATCTTCGCATAAGTTAATATTTGCCCAAAATCGTGAATAAAGATACAATATCTAAAGAACATATCCAGACCTTATTGACATTTGAAACAGTGACTGACACTATAGTTTATTTAGACAATTAAATAATAGGGAATAGGCAGCCTGTGAAAACCCAATGTCATTGTTCATGGCGAAGAAAGCATATATACTCTAAAAACGCATTAAAAAGTAGATCAGTCTGAACGAATAACACATGGTCAGATAACATTTAGACGTTGGACTCATAATAACAACGACTTTGAAATGGCAGCTTGCCAGTGCACCTGTATTCAGTCCTATTTACAAATACAGCGAAAATATAATTTAAAAATATGCTTTATTAACAGGATATAAACAAAATGAAAACTGCACAAACTATGTGGAACTTCCACCCAGTGTACTTTCGATTGGCCAGCTCAAAAAAATATCTCTCCGCTCTTCCTTCACCTAATTAACAATACCAGTATATAGCAAGTGAACATTTCACTTTAGATGACACACAAGACGTAATTATCAACGTCAGCTTTACCCTTTTTCATATTAAACTCACCTTTTTGTTATTGATCGTGAACTAGTAGCTGTGATGTCTATCGAGGTTTGATTACGTTCGGAAATTTGCTGACTCTGCAGTGGTATCGATAAGGGCGTCACAAAAATACCTGACAAAATTGTCAACAGAAAAATCCCCACATACACGGTTGTGCAAAAGTCGATTTCATGCTGAAAAAAAAATGTCATCGAAAAAATTCAAATAATACTTTCTAAGTCATCATATCCTTCAAACTTGAGTTTTTGAACTTCAAATGATGATTTTGGTCATTTTAAAAATCTTGAGTAGAATGCACTAATTAGACACGTCTATTTTTATTTTTGCAACGTGAATATTTTGGCAGGACATGTACAGTATGACCCAGGGGCAGATCCAGGTTTATTTGAAAGGGGGGGGGGAGTCTGCGGATTCAAGCCGACCCTCCCACACACCCTTGGGGTGGGGCTCGGGGCCCTCTGAAGGCCCCGAAAACTTTTGGTATTTTAGAGGCCAAACGGTGCTATTTGATATGGTTTAGAACCATGATTCTGCTTGTTAAAATTCTAATTTCAAGACGGGACCATAAGTGTTACTTTTTTCAGAAATTAAAGGGGGTCAGGACCCCCCTGACACCCCCCTTAATCCACCACTGTGACTATACCCTGACACTTGATAGACATACATGCATTTGATGCAAATACTTCCCTGGGATCTTTTCCCATCAAATTCGACTGAATAGTTTGAAAAGAAGTTGAAATCTAAACATTGCAAGAACCTGTCGTGCTTATTTTAACCATTTTTGAAGAAGTGATTTCGACCTATCCGTGACTGTCACTCTGGATACGGATAAAGTCTTTAGAAAAACACCTGTCAACCAAATTTATCTGAACAACAACTTTATTGTAAATATAAAATCCATGTGAAATGTCACAACACCCAAAAGAATCTTGTAATATAACACTACGAAATAAACCAAACAGCTGGACTGTAGTTACCTGATATTAACAAGATACTATTTAAATAGTTACATCAATTAAAGTCATTATATGATGTTGTAAATATCCCTGTAACAATGTAAGGAGTACATTTGGCAGTTTTTGAACTCCATGACTGTACAGGTACTACATATGTTGCCCTGCTCACTACAGACACTTGTTACAGAAGTGGATTCAGGAAGGGAGGATACCAATAAGCCTGGGTCAACCCTTGCAGGTGAATTAAACCCTCTGCAAACAGGCCTAATAGGAACTGCCAGATATATGCCCCATGTACCCAGCAGAAAGCTAAATCACTTGCAATGGTCTGAGGGAGAGTACCTCACCCGTCCACCTCTCTTCATATCTGTGACATCCTGAATCCACTACTGACACAGAGATACCATCCCTTATATATTTTAAGCCAAGTCTTCTTTTTATTCTGTTGGACAGGTTTTCAAAGAATTTTTAATTTTCAACCAACACCAGCTGAGCTGTTGGCTTTTTGTCGCAGGTAACTGAACGTATAGCTTACAGTGTGAGTTGAACTGATGTGGACACTGCAAGTAAAAAGCAAGAATAAACCCTTTAAACGTCCTTTTTTTAAAGCAAAAATCTAGTGGATACAGCAAAACATATTATACTTTTTATCTGAAAGACTAGAGCTGAGCTTGCCTTACTTGTATCATAGGCTACTGGGCTGAGGTACAGGGTATGTAGATCAAAATGTTTACATAAATTGTAAACAAATCAAGGTGCACAATTAATCTGCATTAAACTCTAAATGGATATACCATCATAAGATCTACATTTCAAAGGAAAGAATAACAAATTAATGTTTTCAAATAATTTCACTACTGGGTTTTCAATTTTATCTCTTTTCTCTTCTACTTGTCATTTAATTGTAAATGATTTACATGACAAAATACAGTACAAATTACTATTAAATATCAACTAAGGCAAGAACTGTGTCTGAGCTAAATAAACAATTTGAATATAACAAACCTATTGAAGAAATGAAGAGTAACTTGCTCCTATATGTGGAAGCAATGAGTTCTAAAACGATGAATCATTTCCCCCTCCCTTCCCCCCTCTCCCTCTCTCTCTCTCTCCTTCTTTCTCTCGCTGGACATTCTTGATATAGTCTTCTGGAGTAACACCTCCTGGATCTCAAGTAATAAGGAAACAAATCAACCATTGTTTGATTTTTCCAAGTTTCATAACATTAAAAATTCCCTGTCCCACACAGACACTGTTTTTTTTTTACTGGTATAAATACCTTTAAATGAAAACAAAAATATGCCATATTCAATTTATTTCTAGGTCGACATAAACCTTTCCCTCTGCACCCCAACCAAATTACAGTACCTATAACTTATCAATAAAAAAACCTTAGGCTTACACCAGTAACCCTTCCTTATCAGTACATGAAAATGTAAAAGAAATAATACTTAATGACTTAATATGGCAGTAAGCATAAGACTTATTACATCAAAATGAATGAAAAAAAAAAGCATCTTACTGGGAATCTATAGTATTCTCTAATACTGTTCATATCAAGAATTAAAGAATCAAATTTTGAGACTAGCATATAAACATTTTACAAAATTATTCACACAGCTGAGTAACGTCAGCATTATCATACTGGTTGTCCCTTAATTTTAAATTTAGCCAATTCTAAATCAGACTGATCATTTTTAATATTTAAGAAACCTCATATTTTACAATAAACCAAAAATTAATATTAAGACCATGCTTAAGTTAAATAATCAGGAAACTGGACAAAAACACTTCAACTAATTGAAATTTAATCAATTCTAATTACTGTAAGCAGGTTTAATAAATAATCATTTGCAATAATTCTGCATCATTGAAAATGAACAAAAGTAGGCAGCACTGGCATCTCTTAATATTCAAAAATGACTGTTTATACAATGAATATCATAATTTGCTAACTTAAAATAGACTGATGATGTCATCCTAAGTAAGGTCAGTCTGAAAATGCATTCAAACCATGCTCAACTTGAACCTGTTTTATGTGTATTTACTGGGCAGATGTGACTTAATGTTTAGCCCAGAACTGTATACACATGGTCTATTAATTAAGTCTTAAGTTAAACTAGATGTGAACACACTTTTAATTTGTAAAGCCAATAACTAAATAAAATGTCAAAATTGACAAAAGCAGATAAATAAATAAATTTGACATTTTCTTTTATACTTACCCTTTCAACTCTACCACTCATTGAATAAAACAGTATCTAAATAGTTAAACATGGGAGTTTTGATACAAAGCAATGCTAGTTGTACATTAAAAAAGCCAACAAAAGGAAATTCATCCATCACTAGAACGTCAATTTTTGAGCAATGCTATTTTTTAAATAAGCTAATTTATAACTGTTATACATAATGCAGGTTTAATAGCTACTTTTAAAAACTACCTATCACTAAACTTAATTTACAATTAAACAAGTTCTCATTTTGCTGAAATATAAAATACTAGTTCTCTTCATTGCTAAATGGCCTTTCCTTCCTCCAGTTTCTTTATAACATCAGAATGGAGCTTCATGTGTATGTTGAGAAAAGACTTGCTGACTGTTTCATAACCACACTGGCAGCATCTGAAAGTCACCAGACACACGGCCTTCTGACCTTCACTTTGACCTTCACCTTGACCTTCAGTGTTACCACTAGGTATAAGATAACTGTCTGCAGCCTCTCTCCTGACTGGCTCTGGTAACTGGGACTCTGCAGTGGAAGGCATGATGTCATCCTCATTATCATTGGTTGAATCTGTGTCATCTGGCTCAGCTGTGGCATCAGTTTCATAATCAATGGCTGCGTTGATGACATCATTTGTGTACTGGTAGCTGTAGTTGGCATCGCTGGCATGACGCCACATGTGCGATTTCAAGGACGGAAGATGGTGACAGATATAGCCGCAGAGGTTACATTTATACTGCTCCAGTGGCTGTTGAACATAGCGCTGATCGTTGGCGTGTCTTTTCATGTGCGACTTCAGGCTACGACTTGAGCCTGCTACAAAATCGCAGTGCTGACACTTCAAGGGGCCCGAGAGCTCCCCCTGCTGGGCAAAAACCTTGGCTTCCTTATATCCTTCATCAGATTCATTATCGGTTGTCTTATTGTCCAAAAGATGGAGCTTACAGTGCTCCTTTAGTTCTTCACATGAAGAAAAAATGCTTCCACACTTAAGGCATTTCACACTCACTGGGTCCGGCACGCTTTTTGGCACATTATGGGATTGCAGGTGCAATTTAAAAGCTACCTGGTCATGGGTTTCAAAGCAGCAGGCTTCACACATGTAAGGTCGTTTGGCGTCTTTCTCATGCCCTCGCATGTGAGCACGTAGCTGGCTCTTATAGTTGAAAACGGCTGAACAAGTCTTGCATTGGTAAGTTCTGATTTTACAGTGCTGAATCATGTGACTTTGCAGAGATTCATTGGAGTCTGCGACAAAGCTGCAAAGAGAGCACTCAAATGGCTGCTTGTCTTTGTGCAAGCGCATGTGCGTGCACATAAGACTGGCATTGGCAGACATGTAATGGCAAAGCTTACATCGGTACTGTCCTTCCATATCATCAAGTTTTTCAACATTCTCCAAAGTTTCCAACCACTTTGAATCGTCCAATGACCTGGTCTGACTAGTGACACGACCTCCTTTCCTGCGGCGCCCTTTCCCACTTCCACTGGATTTTCCCCCATCACCCATTACCTCATCCACGTCTGCATCACTCTCGGACTTTGACCTTTCTCTCAGCTGCTCTATGACAGCCAGCAGTGAGCTACATATCCCAGATTTTGGCTTCGAACCTTCAGTGCAGGTACTTAGAGCTGTGCTGCCACTTTCATCTCTGTCAGCCTTGGCATCAGCCACCTCTGCCCCAGTTTGGGTAGTATCATCCTTCATCTTGTATTTCGGAGGGGTTTGCAGTTTGATGACCCCCTGAATCTTATCAGCATTTACTGGGCACGCTGGATTCAGATTGGGTCCCTTCTTTAGCAGGGACAGCAGACTAACAGCTTGATCCTCGCTGTGGAGGGTGGGACTAGACTGCTGCTGCTGTTGTTGAGAGACACCGACTTGGCTCTCCATTTGCTCCTGTGTTGCCTGGTTTTCTGTGAAAAGATCATAACAGCTAAATAGCAACCTTCTCATATTTTTGTAATCCA